TATCATACCGAAGCCACTGCCAACAGCTAAAAAAGGTAAAATTCTCCCCTACCCGTTTGAAATTCGATTTCGAGTCTCTTCGTGGACATATCGGAGCAAAAAGGATAGTGAATGAGTCAAAAACTACAAGTAAAGCCTGGTGGAGCCGCTGCGGTCGAAACCCTACAACCTCTCCAATGAGCTCCTTCCCACTTCCCGTTTCATATAGTTTTTTAACTGTTGTATTCACCATCTTTTTTTGTGCAGGTTAGCTGCAGGAGAAACTCCAGCTGTGAAGGAGAACTGGTGGAGCTACCGCACCTAGAGACCCCCCCGCCGGTAGGTTCAGTTTCTTTTGATTCTTTGGCCAACTGAGGCCCCCTAACGTGTTTTTTCGCAGGGATACGTATAAAACCGTCAAAAATCGACCAAGTCGAGGTGAATTGCCACTGTGGCTGGCAAAGCCAGCACCGGAGCACGGCGAGACTGCCGTGCCGGAACCTTAAAATTTGCCGAAAAGGGCTTTCAACACCGATTTTGAATGTTTGGGGTATTTTTAAATATGTAACGAGTATTTTAAATTCTTATATAAAATTTAGAAAATCTGAGACCCATTAAGAGGTGTAGTAGATAGCACGAAGTTTCAAAATACTAATTTGGGTTAGGATCCCTCACCTTATTCTCGGTTACAGTAAAGTGAGGATCAATAATCGATAACTGTGTGTTTTATGAAAAATTAAAAAAACCCTAAAAATATTACAAGTCACTAATGGAGCCAACTCATGTTAGTTTACATTTATTTTAATTCCCTGTTTATTTTTTTATATTGCCTATTTATGCTTACTATTATACTGTGTGTAATTGAATTGGTGGTTTTTATCCGGTATTCTAGTTATTGGTTATTTGGTTATGCTAAACTATATCGTTTGTTTAAGTGCCATTTGAATTAATCTGTGAATATGAAATGATATATTAGTATGGTTTAGTGGTTGTTTGGATGATAAGAGTCTAAATAAATAAAAACTTATTGGGCATCCTGAGAAATGGTAGATGAACCCGGTACATAGTCGGACGGGGCTGAGAAGTTCAATACTAGAAGGTTTTAGGAGATACAATTCACCGTCATATCTGACGGGGTATCGAGTTGATATGTTTTTAACGCTCATTACTAGACGGAGTATGGAAACTGTCGGGTTAATTCTCAATCTTGATACTGAGTCCACAAGTAAAGGGATATTCCTATGTACCCCCAAGAGTCCCAGTAAGTAGGTTAAAAAAGAAAGATTACTGATCCTATACATGAAATTGAAATATCATTTGGTTAATTGTTTTCATAGGTTGATTTTGGAAAAAATCATAATTGTAAGTATTGAATAAAAAGTTTTAAAGTTAAATGTATTTATTTAAAGCAATGACTCCATTAGTTATTTTCTAATTTTTACTAACATATTAGTGTAATATTCTTACTAGGCTAGTGTAACTTACCATTTCATTAACTATTTAAAATCAAGAAGACTAAGATCTAAATCCCAATTAGCAAGAGGGTTATGAGTAGTCAACATCTCGGATTCTCTTTAAGTACTAATGAATGTTGCCCTAGAATATTTATTAATTCGTTTTTCTTTAATTATCGTTTGTTTGTTATGAATCACGTAAAAAAGATATTATCGTAACCCTATTGGATAATTCAATTTATTGTGTATGGAATATAAACCCTAGCATTTATTATTCGCTTCCGCATTTAAATTATAAATCTATTTTCTTTAAACATTCCAGGTGTAACGACCCCAGAAATTTTAAATGAAATATATGTATTAAAAATGTCAAATGCGGAAGCGTAATAAAAATTTTGATTAACATCTCTTACACAATAACCAAAAC